ACATGATATGCTGACGTTTTTTACGGTATCAGTGGAATACAAAATTTTTCTTTAATTTCTCAATCTCCTCGTGTTACAAATTCATTAAATTGCATGTTTCAGAATATATTAAAGCGCTGCCGCAATTGAAAACAACCTAGACATAAAGTAAACCCTTACATTTATTTTTCGAGAAAATTCTTTTTGCAGAAATGCTTTTTAGAAAACTCTAAGAAAAGCTTATTTGAATCCTCCATGTAAAGGGCTTTTTAGACAATATAAATGACCTTTAAGAAAAGAATATTTTATAGGATAGAACACTACTTTCAACAAGCAGTAAAAAAGTATATTATTATACACTCACGATATAAAGGCAGCAATATATTTTCTGTGTTTGCAATAAAATCCTGGTTTCTTCACCTTGAAATAGGGCACGTGAAAATAGACCTTTTAAGATATCAAGATCGGTTGCTCTTCTATTTATGTACTATCTATATATACTTTATATTCAGATCAAAAACTTGCTTATAATGTTTAAATTGATTTGCTTATAATATAATTGTAATTACAATTATAGCTTAATTATAATTTGTTTATAATGTTTAGATTTGTGTATAATATAATTATAAATTAATTAAAAATTTATTAATAATATAATTATAATATAATTTAAATAGAAAGATTACAATTATAATTTTTATACAAAGCATTTTTTCTAACGGGATTAACCATTTCAGATCTCTAAAAAGTTACTTTTTTATTTATTTTTTATTTATACAATTACTAGAAGTGCAATTTTTTCTTGAACTAACCTGAACGTATTTTTTAAACAAAATAATTATTTTTACCACGTTTATATAAACTTGCCTTCGTGTATGTCTGTCCGGGTGGAATTTTGTAATCGATTTTAAACTAACTTCCCGACTAGCTACAAACTTCAAATTTAGCACACAGTTCAGAATTGGATGACAATGCATGAAAATGAAGAGAAAAAAGACATGCAAAGTAAAATAAAATTAAAATTTAAAAAAAAAATTATTTTCGAGATTGTCTTTTGTTGTCGATTCCATTATTTCAAATTAGTATTACATGTCAGGTGAAAAGATTTTTATTGTCGGAGTATTTTTATTGGCTGAAAAATCACGTGGTAGGATCCAGTTTTTCCTCATTCATTTCCAGATTGTTTTGGTTGTCATCAGCATAAAACTAATGAAAGTCGTAAAGGTATTGTTTATCTATAAAGATTTTTGTATCCCTTATTTAAAATGAAAGTTGTATTATTTTAGTAGTGGTCTTGTAGTAGTCTTGACTACTCTTGACTAAGAAAAATAATCTAAATAAAAATATATATTTTTAAAAACCACGTTTTTTTTAGTGAAGAATAATAATTGAAAAGTAATAACTTTTAAAAATATAAAATAAAAATTAAAAAAATTATTATTTAAAATAAAAAAAATTCAAAGTAAAAAATAATATTTATAAAAACCAAGTTTTTGTAGTGGAGAACAATATTAAAAAAAAAATTGAAAAACGAAAAACGTGGGGCGCATGAAATACATAACAGTATATATACACATACATATACACATTTTTTTACTCATACACATGCACAGCCACATATACATCCACATACATATGCATATACACAAACATATTCCACATTCAGATACAATTACAATTACAGATATACCATACACATATTTTCAAGAGCACACATACACACACTAATATAACATTACTGTTATGTATTTCATGCTCCCCACGTTTTTCGTTTTCCAATTTTTTTTAATTATTATTCTCCACTACAAAAACGTGGTTTTTAAAAATATTATTTTTTACTTTGAATTTTTTAATTATTAGATTCGAAAAGCTGTTTTGGTGATTACTACATGATCACTTTTTGAAAAATTAAAAATGTCACATCTGACAAAAAATAGCGCCACGTCTGAAAAAAAGTGCAAAGAAAAAATTTTACATTGAAAATAATTTTCTTAGATTGTGAGTTGCTTAAGTCCCGAATATACTGTTTATTTTAAGACAACTTAAATAATTCCCAAGTTATACCACTGAAATTTGAAAAACAGAACGTAAATGATTGATGTTAACGAGATGCTTCGTAGGCGCAATAGAAAAAAGTACTAATCTTTCGTTGCAGAGGTAATAGGTTCAAACCCCCATGTAGGCTAAAAACATTTTTTATATTTTTCAGATTTTTATTAGCTCATTAATTTCATTCGGGGAATTGAAACTGCTTAGTAAGAGTATCTAATTGATCAGAATTTTCTTTTAAATTTTGCTAGTAAAAACTGAAATTATTTTTGAAATAATTAGAAATCTAATACTACCCTAGAAATGTATTTCTTTTTCTGCCGACGAAAATAATAATGCGACGAATAGAAAAAGCTAGTCGATTTCTGCCTAACCAGTTTTCGAATTAAATAATTATATGCATAAAGATATGATATTCCTTTCAGAAATCAATGCATGATCGGGATCAACCTAATGCTCTAGCAAAGAATTTATGAAATCCACTCTGAAAAGGAAGTACAATTAAAAATATTCCTCTTTACTCCGAATTGGAGCACTGTTAAAATTCTCATACTAAAATTATGGGAAAATAACTGGCAGCTGTCTGTCCATCCGATTAACCGTAAAGTTTACGGTAAAGAACATTTTTTTTCCTTTATGGTTTTGAAACCATTTACAAAATGTTTGGTTATAGAACCATGAATACAAAACTATACAGTTTTTTTTAACCATTTACAACTAGCATTTTTCAAAAACGTTATCTAACTAGACATAGGAGCTCGGCTTTTCGCAAGGTAATGGGCATTGGAGAGTGCCGCACACTGGAAATTCTTCATATGTTGAAGGGAATAGGATGAAATAGTGTGGTGTCAACACTAGGACTCGAACTCCAGTTCTGCCGGTCATGAGATGGACAGATAAGCTCGCTCGGCTATGATATGTACGCCGTTGCAAAGAACTAAGTAGCTTCATGAGGTGGATCTAGTGGGTGCGATAAAATTCTGGTTGTTTTATTGCATGAGGTGAAAATAGTTAATAAACAGTTTTTCTCAAACTGAACAGTTTGATTACCATTTTATTTATGGTTATTTGACTGTTTCGATTAAATATGGTAAAATAATCATTCAATAAATTGTTATTTAACCACTTTTTCCGAGAAATTTCCAACGGTGTATTATAGCTTTCCATCTCACTCTAGTTGTGCCCAGATATTTTGCATCTCTCAATGTCTTTCCTATTGTTTTCAATTAATTTACAATCTTCCTACTCCAAGTATTTTGAAATCTTTCTCTTTTTCTATTGCCCTGAGGATTCCTATCAAAAATGTGTTTTACTTTATGTTTTTTAGGCTTACGCAGAAGATAGCCCATTCATTTCCACTCGATACAATTAATACTCGTAATAAACACTCGAAGTTTTTCCATTTTATTTTTACTAAATACCAGATCCATGGAGTAGCACCGGATTTAAAATTCTTATTTTTGCGGGATTTTTTACGTTTTTGTTTTTCTAGAATTTATTGACAGCGGTGTTTCAGGCGTTTAACAGCTGACCGACCTTATTCTGAGTTCAAGACTATCAAAGTCGATTGTAAATGAATTAAAAACAATGCGAAAGAATAGTAATAGGATGGGAAAAAAAGCATTTTGAATGTATTACCCAATAAATTATTTTAACAATCACTATAAAAAATATTCACTGATTTAAAAAAAAAAGTAAATGTCTTATGAACAGAATTTAAAAGTACTTTAGAAATTTTCGAAAAATTCTTTCAAAAATAATGCATCAAAAATGTAAAATTAGTAGGCAAAACTATGCCAACTGACAATTTATAACAGACTATTTCTGAAACGAAGTATAGATGTGTTTTTACTATTGCGTCACTAGGACGGCGCATTGGCTAAGTTTTTTATTACGCAGCATGAAATTATTTTTGAAGGGAGAATAATTTGGCAACCATTCCAAAGACTTCTATATAGATAACATTTTCGAATTCAGAACCTCAAAATCTATATCAAAATAGTTTTGTTTGATATCAAGATTTTATGCCACTCTTGGTGACATTTTTTTGTGAGTCTTAGAAAAAAAATCACTGCAGTGCATCTCAGTGGACTGAAAATTGAGTTAAAAAATCCTAAAAGTTTTCTTTTTCTTAATGCTTTAAGTTTAACAACAGTTGTTTTGAAACATTATATTTAAAAAATGCATGTGATTTTACTTAGATACGTTTGATATTTTTATATGAAAATTATTTGAATTGAATTCGAAACTATACAATTCATTACACTGAAAAAATTCCGGATCAAATTACGATAAAAGATACCGGAACTAAGGATGCCAAAATTTTTTTACTCCAAAATGTATTTTTACCGTGAAATTTTATGGAACAAAAAATCCGATGTACCGTAATTTTTACAATAATTTACAGTAATACTGTAAAATTACTGAATCACTGTAATTAAACAAATATTGCTGCAAAAATTACGGTTGATGGAATTTAGCAACTGTAAAATAATTTTTACATATGCTACACTCAGGGTGCCATTACTTTTCACCCAAATTTGATACGGAGTTTTCTTCAGTGTATTTCTGAATTTAAATTCAATAATGTCTAATGGTTATGACAATTTAAGAATTCAGTCAAAAACATCTATTTGTCAAATTCTCATCCATTATGCAAGAAGTATCCATTAGCTAAATATTTGGAACGGGCAAAAATTTAGGATAGTTTTATTCTACTCATTATGGGGTAATCACTCTATTCACTCATTTAGGAAGAAACCTTTTTCAAATTCAGTTTCAAAAGTTTATAGGCATCGCAGACCAGCATTGTAACATTTTAAACTTTATATAGATATGGTCTTCTAAAAGACTTGTTTGTATAATCAGAAAGAATGACAAATATTCAAAAACTAAAAGTTATATATACGTCTTCAATCATATCTTTTAATACATACATGAAAGCGTTTTCAAAATTGAGAATTATTTTATAGGTTTGTATGCAGAAAACCATGGATTTGTTCAAAACATGATGTATGACTCCCTGTATGGGGATTTTTTTCTTATGGGTCCCAATGACACTGCTTCAGTTCCTCATTGGTGGGAGAGTGCAGAACCCCTCTGGATTACAGCAGAGAAGAATGGCCTTCGAAGTGCTCTTTATTGGTGGGATGGTTGCCAGGTAATTTAATTATATTAATAATAAATAAATATCAGGCAATTTAATAAAGTAGTAATACAAAGAGAACTTGATGTTGTTTTCATAAAAAATATCAAGCATACTTGAAAATTAGTTTATCAAGCACAATGAACACACGGAGTTTCTAATTTAATTAGCTTTCGAGGACATTAATAATTCCTTCTCAAGACCTGATCATCTACTTATACGGAAGCAAATCAAGAAAAGAGTTCGAGATGGAGACTTGGAATACCCGGACTACAGATCAGTGTTTCGCTCAAAATTAATTTTTAAATGTGAGCCTTTGTACTTTGCTTTAGACTCAGACATGCGTGATATTTGGAAATTGACTAATAGAAAAAGCTCAGATCAATACTTGAGGAATTGGCCTCGCATTCAGAATAAGTTGGGGCATCGTTTTGATGATATCGTTTCCAAATTGATTTCTTTGGCCCAGATCGACTTTATGTGCTTTGTGCTCATGAGGGTGTCTATGGAAACGAAATGAAACTGCTAGGGAGAGTTGTGAATTTCTAATGGCCATACTAGCTTTTAAGGTTCACTCTATGGTTTTGTCCAAAATAAGTACAGCTTGGGAGATTCCTCCAGTTCAATAATCAAACCCCGCTTTGTGCTTTGGTTTGCCCTATAGTGACTCTCTCCCAGATTTGCTAAAACTCCATTATTTAGACTTATGACTGGACACATAAGAAGTTTAACATTCCACGAAATAAAGAAGACATATGCCAATTGTCACTGATCAGCCATCACGTTGGCGACGTGACTCTTGATTTAGGCGCCTAAACCAAGAGGATGGGCAACAAGCAGCAATACCATGTTTTACCATTAAATATTTAAAGTAGCTGAAGTCGATAGTTGATTAAAAATATTGTGAAATTGTTGTTTATTCTTTGAAGAGTAATAATAGTTTTAAAAGTTTGTCGTGATGTTTATTGGTGAATGAAGCGGTTATTTATCAGTGATGATGTTAATTTTTGGAAAAATAACTTGGATCTAAAGACAAAAAGAAAAAAAAATTCCAAAACTTGGTACTTGAAATGTTTTAGTTTCATCATAAAATGTTTGCTTTGAGAATTTTCAGAAATTTAAATTAATTACTGTAACGTCTCAAATAAATTTATTTGATACTCAAGTTATTATATATGTATATTTTAAGCAAATATGTAACTAAATCAATTCAATGAAAGCAAATAAAATTATAGGGTGATCTTGATTAAATTGAAACTATTTAAGTTGCAGGCTTATCAACAAAGTAGTATGAAATATGAATATTTTATTGAATCACTAGAGGAAAATTAACTTTTCGCTTGTGTATATGAATTTTCACGAAAGAAAGCTTTTTACAGTGTAAAGTGAATTCCATATAATGCTATGCTAAATTTATATATATATATATGCTTACATGGTATGCTTTCTACAAGTATGTACTGTATAATTAAAAAAAATTACAGGTTGAAATAAAAGGGAAAAAACCTACATACTGTCGAAAATATAAGTATGTTGGATCTTCTTGGCCAACAGTTAATGAAGACACCAAAGATGCTCTACTCACTGCACTGCAATTATTAGAAAACAATGAGATACAATTAGTTCAGATGTATTATGAACCAGTAGATTTTAGCGGTAAGTAAGTACGGTTCAATAGATTAAATTCTAATTAAATGAATATTTTTATATATTAATTGTAACTAGCCAAATTTCAAATTTCAACAATTATTAATTTTTTTTTGAGAATTTTGAAGTTATACTTGTTATGCGACTTCCAACAAGGTTGCGTTAAACGTTTAACGCTACATTTTTATTGGCCGGGAAATCACGTGGTAGGATCCAGTTTTCCCTCATTCATTTCCATATTGTTTGGTTCTCACTAGCATAAAAACAATAAAAGTCATAAAACTTTTGTTTTTCTATAAATATTTTTTTAGTTTGTTTTGATACACATATAATTTAATAGGGAGCAGAAAAAAAGAGTCGTTGAATAGAACTAGTGACCCTTCTACGACTGCTGATTCTTCTACAATTAACGTCGCAGGTTACGAAATTTAACTTCTTCCGCGCGGACTCCACGCACTCCACGCACTTTTTCTTTATTGTACGCATTACTTGCGAGTAATTGTAAAAAAAATTAGTAGAGCTCCTTTTACTTAAAACATTATCCTGAAATCTTATGAAGAAAGTTGTTTGCTCTATTTTGCGATAAATAGTAACTATAATGTAATTAATATTACTAATGAAAAATATATGATAGGTTCAAATGTTGTGTAAAGTAAGTGATTGTTCAAATAAAAGCTTGGGTAGCATACTTATACTATGTACTATAATTTTTAACAATACATATACGTTATATGTTATTGTTATATATTATTATTATTTGAATATCAATAAATAACTGTTGCTAAAAAAACCAAGCTAGGGTGACATACGTTTAATTTATACTATAATTTTTAACGATCTAAACGTGTTTTGTATTTTAGTATCTAAAATTAACTCTAATTCCAAGCTATGATACTAAAGTAATACATACTAAAGTAAATAACATACTAAAGTCTATTATAATTGATCACAAAAAATGCGTTATGTATTTTGTATATCTATGGATAATTGTAACAATTAAAATAATTCTAGGGTAGCATACGTATAAAATGTTTTATAATTGATTAAAATATATTCGTTATGCATTCAATTGTGACAATCAAACCCAAGATTAATTAACATATGTATAAAGTGTACTATAAATGATTATAAAACATTTACATTATGCATTTCGAATGTCGAAGGGTAACTGTTGCTAAAAATACCAAGCTTTTGTGGCATATGTGTAATGTATAATATAATTCATTACAATCTATACTAGTTTTGTTCTGTAAATATCTATGATTTACCCTAACAATCGAGACCAAGGTATGGCATATGCATCAAGTTTACTATAACTGATTGCAATATATATGTGTTTGTATTAATATCCATAAATAACTGTAACTATTAAAATCATGCTAGGGTTACATGCGTATAAATCGCATTATAATTTATTATAACACGTATGCATCATGCATTTTTGTGTCAATGAATAACGGATGATAACAAAATCAAGCAAAGGATCTTACTTACAAAGTATACAACAAACTGATCACAATGTTTACCATGTCTATCAGTTTTGCACGTTGAATGTCGATGATTAAATGTTACAATGAAAATCAACATGTACCATATATCAAACAAAAATCTTACAAATATGCAAATGATGTAATATTTCAGCTGATTTCCACACTCTTTTAGATTCAAACCATTATCGTTTAGAATGCAAAGAATTTTCATACCATTTTAAATTGCAACTTTAAACAACACTATCATACAGATGTAATTAATCAGATCAGACTCAAGCAATTAAAGCCAGTTTCCTCCAGAAAATTATTTAAAGTTTTAATAATAAGTTTTGACGACTGACAATGCATTTATTTTCTTTATAGAAAGAACATTAAAAGTAAAAGCAGAGATACTATCTTGGTTTATTAGATAAACTTAGTCTTTTACACAGCGTTACATCTTTATTATAGTTTCTTGCGAAATAACATTGTATTACATAGGCATCAAATTACGCTTAGAAATTACACAACGTACGGTACGTCTACATTCAATTAAATTTGAATGTGCTACAATGTAGAAAGTACAATGCCTGTCGCCATACATTGTGTGACATTTATGTTGTGTTGCGTTTAGAAACTGCATGTCAGTTACAACAGAAACATATTTCCTGCGTAAAATTTCAATATTATGTTTTTATATTTCGAAAAAAATAACTCATAAGTTAATATTAAGTACCATCTTCTTATAAAATGGTAAAATTATTGATAAAAGTTTGTTTCAATTATTTATATTTCATTTTTTTAATTTGCTTAATATAAATGCTTTTGTTGTTTCAGGTCACAAATATGGTCCTAATTCTTTTGAACGTAAGCAATCTGTAAAAGACATCGACAATCTACTGGACTTACTTCAGCGAGAAATGTCAAAAAGAGGTTTAGACAACACGGTACTCAGTACAAACTTATTACTAATGAATTGTTATGAAATTTATGAAATTGTATTAAAGCTGTTGGTACATATATTTTATGAAAGAAATATGTTAAAATGTGCTTACATGTTTTACTCAACTTATAATCCATTGTTGAGTATAATTTTCGTCTCAAAAAGTATTTTCTGTGAGTCATTTTATTCTATTGTACTGTTTTAAGTTGGAGGGAAAAAAACGAGAGTTTATCTTTTTTTTGAAAATTATTTTAAAAATAATGATAAATTAAAATTGTTTTCTAGTTCTCAATTTGATATTTTTGTTTGTTAAATGAAATATTACTTTAATTTTTTTTTTGGTACTGACATAATACTTTAAATAATGAATGAGAAAACTTTACGCTAAATTATAAAAATATGTAAATAAAAACCAAAAGAACTGTTCAGAGATTTGATAGAAGTTGATCGGTTTGTTCTATTTGACGTTTATAAAACTTTTTTTCTATACCGTATGCTGTAGCTAAAAAGTTTGAAAACAAAACTCATTACGAATTACTTTTTAAAATACTAATTAAGTTTTGTTTTTTATAATACAACAATAAATTCTTAGTTCTCTATTTCCATTAAATTATCATTAAATCGGCAACTATCACCATTGCCTTTTCTTCTTCACACTATTAAGAGATGATGTTTCTTTTATTAAATACCTAAATCATCACTTTTGACAGAATTATTGAGAAATAAGAGATTTCTAAACAGACCAAAATGATACGCAGAGTGCTTAATTATGATCGCTTTTAATTTATATTTTTGGAATCATTGTGAAAAGTGAAGAAAAGATGCACACATGTAAGAATATTTGAGCGAGAAAAAAAATTAACCTTTGTTTAAACGCAACAAGTTTCAGGAAGATTTCTGACGGAAAAAAAATAGTGTAAGCAGAAGAAAGTATCAAAAAGGTATATCACAACCTGTTTGGCCGAACAAGGAGAAGGTATATCACAACCTGTTTGGCCGAAAGTTGAGATTTGAAAGTTTTTCTCATGTTCATCTTTCAACGTATATCTCTTTCTTCAGCAATTAAACAGGCTTAGGTGTTCCATTAATCTGCCTTCTTTGGATTTCAAAAGAATTGTTTTCGTTTTCCTTGCTAATATTAGTTTGCATCTTCACATGTTTAGACTTTTTGTTGATAAGTTTGATTGGGATTAGAAACATATGGATTAACAGCGACATCACCATATGACACTAGTATAGTAACATATGACGCTAGTTATAATAGGTAAATTATAATATATTATGATAGTAGAATCTCGGACATTAATACCAAAATATTTTCTAAATTAATTCTGTGCAGATACTAGCTCAGCATATTAAATCTGTATCTAATAACTTAAGTCCATGAAATCCATAAATTAATAAAAACCATAAAATAATATCCATAGGCACTAAATTCATTGAAATTCATTGAATTCATCGAATTTAATGACAACTAAAGCTGTAAGATTTGAAACTGTTGATTGATTATGAGCATTTCTTCAATTTTACTTTTTTATTTAAGTCTTCTCCTGCATATTTACTTTTTGCGTAGTTATAAAAATACATATATTATTAATTAACACAAAATAACAGTATCCTTCAAAATACTTCCCAATTCCAAAATGTGAAGCTGCACGTTTTTGGTACCAAATTCATGAAAGGTATCCTCCTTTTCCTAAGAATAATTTTAATATGAACCTTGTATAAACCATTACTTAGATAAGAAAAAATTATTCTTTGTTTTCTCCGTTATTTGAAAAGAAAATTTTTTTCATTTGAAAAATAGGTAAACCTCGTAGTTTTGTCTGACCATGGAATGACATCAACGGATTCAAGAGGACTGAACGTCATCAATCTTCAAGAAATGATTGATATATCGGATATAAAATATATGGTTTACTATGGCGCAACAAGCATGCTCTTACCATATGAAGGAAAGACTGAAAAGGTAAAACATATTGATAAATAATATATTTCGTGCTTTTTTCCAAATAATGTTTCAGCTTTTATGTAGGTTTATTCACAGAAAAATCGGTTTAGCATTGAACAGATACGGTACATTGAATACATTGAATCATAGTACGCTGTTAATTTTTTGCAAATAAAGTATTAAATTGAACTTTAGTATGATGTAATTGCGGTTTTTTTGTAATCGAAATTTTCAGTTTCGTTGAAAGTTTCAGGAGATGTTTATTTTGTAAAATTATTATGTACGTGATTTTTTTTAAAGTGGTTGGTAAAACAATAGGTAGTCTGAAGCTTTCACATCAATTCACATATGCACTGAGAAAAAAAGGTATGGCCAAAACTACCAAGATATGGTAAAGTCTATTGTGTTTCTGGCTCTATAGAAACACCAAAAAAAGCGGTAATTTTTACAGAAGGGCTTTTTTAATGATTTTAGTAACTTTGACAATAAAATATAGTATCAGAATAAGTGATAAAATTTGGTAAATGGGGAAAAAATCGGTAATTCTATCTGTCAGGGTCACGTGATGTAATAACACGCATTTTCTGATGTTGCGAGCTAAAAGCTTGATATTATAGATATGATCATTTTTTTTTGTTTTGGTTTTTGGAGGATGGATGAAAAAGAATAATAAAATGGTGAATTAGTTTTTGTAGAATTTTGCGTTATTTCTTTTGTAAAAGGTTACGACTGACACTATCAATATACCTTAGAGCATGGCATAAAAATCATTTATTTAGTTCAATTTGGTTTTTTGTTTCTAGTTATAGAGTATTAAGAAAATAATCTTAATAACCAGAACATGCGATAAACCGTTACCATATGAACTGAGGCAAACCAAGGCATTAGCAATTATACTGAGTTCCACATCTCTACCTTAACTATTGTGATATAAATAATTACGATTACCTTTAGCACGAAGGCCAAAGATTATTCAAAATTCTACGAAATACTATCAAACTCCATTTTTGAAAACAGTGAACCACAAAGGTATGTATTTCAATGAATACATAATATCAAGTACTTAATAAGACCTAGATATCAGTGATATAATTTAAGAGTATGGAAATATTTCACCTCAAAATTTCAAAACAACCACAAATTTGCTTACGTTTCAAGGTTATTAATTGAGATTTAGTGCAAAGACTTTGAAAAAAAAACCCAGGTATAAAGTAAAGTAGAAAGGAAACTTTCATTATATCAGAAACAAATTCAATTCACAGATTTATATTAATTGATCTAACTTTCGTATAAAGTAGCCCTAAACTTTGAGTCTCGTTGCTGAGTATTTGAATAAAAAAATAATTCGAAAAAAGCTGAAAATTATTTTGAAATTTGTAGATTTAGGTCCATTATCAATATATGATGTTAGGTCACTCAAGCTAATCTTAGTCGCTGTCTTGCATTCTTCAATAAAACTTGCCCACTTCAAATATTGATTACAATGTATAATTTACAATAAATCGAATTACATAAAAACAAAATCGAAATAAAAATCATGTAAATATGTGAATTTCTTGCAGTTTTCTTGTCTTATCTATATCATTTTAAGATGACGATTAAAAAAAAACGACTTTTAATGTTTTTTGTTATGAAAAAAAAATTTATTAGTAAAATGTTACTCAGTAGTTTTTACAGTAATAGCTTAATAGTTTAATTAGTAACGTCGTAAATTAGAAGGTTTTATCTAAAAAAAAAATAACTACTATAAAGAAAATTAAACTACAAAGTAGTAACTTAGTAGTTTGTATGGATAAAGAACACTTAGAACGCTTTTTCATTTAGTAGTTAGAAAAACCTTTAAAACTTAGTTAGTTGTAATAAAATAAAACCATTAAAACGGTGTAATTGATTTTTTATTGTAATTAACCCTTCGTAAAATATTCATATTTTAAAAAATGCTTACAGCCTTTTCTGTTAAATATTTTCTGGAATTTTTTTAATGACCATGAATGCAATTTAATCGAAGATATTAAAGATTATTCGGAAAATTTGACTAAAATTAATTTATGAAGATATAACTATAAAATATATAAAAATTTACCTCTTAATTATATCAATGACAAATAGCAAGAATTAAGAACTAAAAAAACATTTTTATCATACAATCTTCAAATATAGTCATTTTTGGTAAGGTGTGAGTAAATGTTGTTTTATTTTCACATTAATTGAAACTCTAGCTTCTGACAAATTACGGATAAGTTTAAATATTTATCAGCATAATATGAATTTTAAAATAAATTGATTGAAATTAAAAATTATAAATGATAAAAAAATTTTAAAAAGAGCATTGATACAGATACTGAAAGAAATTATGAAATTTATAAAACGCTTCTATCCTTTGAAAACTAAATACAATATAAAAATTCCAAATCAAATTACGGAAAAAATACTGGCACTCAAGGAACCGGCACTTTTTAAAGTAAAATTTATTCTTACTGGAACATGTCACGGAACAGAAAAATCTAATGCACCGTATTTTTACTTTAATCATCACCGTAAAATCACTGAATCACTCTCTAATTAAATATTACTATAAGAGTTACGGTATAATATTTTACAGTAAAAGCGGATTTTACGGATGATCCACCCAAAGAATCGGCAATTTGATTCGGAAGTTTTTAGTTTACAAAATTTTAATTTAAAAGAAAAATTATGCGAAGTCAAAATACTATAAAATTTATTGAGAAGCATAATTAATTATTCGATCTTAAGCATAAAGACTTTATTAAATCGAAAAAAAAAGAGCTTAATGCAAATAAATTTCTAATAAGAAATCAGACCAATATCCTTTTACCTTATTTCGTTAAAATCTCACAAGATTATTGCGAAATAAACTCTTTGCCTGAACCAGACCCGATTTATTTCTTCTACAAATCTGAAAGGTTTTACACGACTAATCCCTTGTCTTAGAGAACAATTCGACTTTCAAGCTCATTTGTGAAAATATTTTGTTTAAAGATCTACTTAATGTGTAAATATAGCCTTTTAGAGCCTCTTTTTCATCCTGATGTTCTGCAGACACCCCCACCTGATTGATTTTCTTCACAAACATGCTTTAAATTTTTGTAAAAGTTTTAATTTATTCAAATAAAAATACTTTTTTAATTAGACACTATCTGTTACATTTATGCATGCTTTAATGATAATATAGTAAATTTAATTCTGAAAAAAACTGTTGTTTATAAGAAAATGACTTAATATAAGGTATTAAACTCTTAAATACTGTCTATAAATGATATATTAAATGATATTTTAATTTTTTTATTACCAAGTTTTTATTAACTTTATTTTGTGTTTGAAACAAAGGATTTCGCACTGAAAACTAGTAAAATTACAGTTTGTAAGGAAAATGACATTTATGCTAAAATAAAACCATATATTCTGGTTTAAAAAACCAAAATATACAGCATTTAAACTACTCATTTGTCAGTTTTTCTTTTCCTATGATAACGATTTGCAGGAAGTTCTGGATTTCAAAATCATAGTTACTATCACCACACATTTAGTAAAAAATACAAAATTGTAAAGTGTATTAAACCGAATAAATGGTTTTTATGCAATGCTCTAAAATATCATGCTAAAATTACATCTTACACGATTTACAAAATTTTATCACATATAAAATTATATTTCATTATTAATTTTACTAAAATAATTACTAAAACGTTTCGGTAAGAATAACCGAGCTTTTTAGTGTTACCGTAGTCCCAGAAATGCAGTAAATATTACCATATTCTAGTAATTTTAACCATATTGTTTTCTGCACGCAATATAAATTTCAGCCACTTTTTGATTAACTCTAAGGCTAATAACAATATGAGTATTAATCAATGCCAGACCACAACTATCAGAATTTATTGGAATATTATTGCTAAGAGTAATTTACCATTAATTTAAATAACGATGAATTTCCTTAGAGCTATGAGAGACAGTTTATTATTTACTTCGCAAATTATTATATTAGTTACTTTAAAATTACTTTGTATTACATTAAAACTTTTTTAAATACCTGATGCAAAAGGTATGCCAGATAATTTACTAAAAGATACGAGGGATTATGTTGACAGATTAACAACTTCACTGTCTCACAGCTTTACGACTTTAACAACTTCTCCGGGATTGCTGAAATAGCCTGGTCGGTAGGGCGCTGGGCCCATGTCCGAGAGTTCGTGGGTTCGAATCCCGGCGTCGAAGACTCCCCGTGTAGTAAATGGTGACTGATGCATGTTAAATCTGTCGAGTCGCAAAGTCCTCCATGTTCCTATATCAAATCACTACCTCTGGGGGTGCTGGATTGGAGATCGATCGTTCTCTGATTCAAGTCAAAATTACGATCTGCGGATGAATGAATGGGTCCGCCCTATAAAACGGGTTTTAACGTGTGTGCGGCTGAAGACGAATTCTTGGCCATATGATGGCGACACTGAAAAAACAAAAAACGCACACTCTGCCTTAAATTTGATCGGTTTCACCCAGCAGGCTTGCCCGTGTGGCAAGTTGCATTAGAAACAACAGCAACAACAACTTCACAGTTCGGGTGGTCTGTGAAGTAAATAACACACAATCTCCGGCATTTTTTAAAGCCAAGCAAGTCCATCCAAAGCTGGGTGTATGAGAAGTGGGCTGCGGTGACGGTTGATTACTACCCTTCTCTATTCTATAAAATGAAATTGTGGAATCGTAGTGTGAGAACATTGTATTATTAATGATGAATCACTGAATGTCAACAATAGCCTATCTGTGAAACTCTAGTAAATGATAGTCAAACTCATTCAGAACTAACTACTGTTATTTTGAAATGCTGTTAAGTTAAAAATAATATAAATTTAAATTAAATGTAGAAAAATAAAACTTTAAATATTTTCCATAAGTTTTGAACATAAATTATATCCTGTCAAATTATTTTCGTTATTTCATCCCATATTAAAAATCAGATTCGAATGCTTATATTTATTTAAAATAAAAATATTGCACAA